ATTAATTTGAATATATGAACTTAACCACCTTTTCCACCCTGCAAAAATGAACTCATCATGAGCCTGATATCTCTTTAGACTGCAAAAACAGATATGAGGGAGATAACATTTCACCTTATGAGGTGGGGTTCCTGGTCTAGGAACATTGTTGTTGAATCCAAATCTTCCTTTCTTCTCAGATGACTTGATGATTTGGAATGAACATGTCAAGCTATCATCAACACTCATCATTGCGCCAGCATTGTCAAACTCGCCACAGTAATTGGGTGCAGAGAATATTGTCACCAGTTGCCTCTTTGCAAAGAACTCATATCCATCTTCTACAACCTGCGGATTCAGTAGCCAATAAATTTGACTTCCCATGAATTCATAAGATCATCAATGGGAATAAATGACACCAAGGAGACTATAACCATTTCAATAACGGNACCATTCTTGCATAAAACACCTAGGATTACAGTTTCCAGTGTGTAGTTTAGGTTTACCTGATGAGCTCGGCATACAAGATCAAGGTCATGAGTTTGAAGGAACTCAGCCACTTTGTCGGCCCCAAATGTATACGAGACACCTCTATCATTCTCTCCCCAGCCTTCAATCTCTCTATCAGGATCAGCCCATAACAAATCACAAAGAATGCCCTGGTCAGGAACATCAATAGGGCGAGGAATCCTCTTGATATCATCTAAGCTCTTCAGACCAGGCGACAGTCCACCGTGCATACAGAGAATCTTATCGTCAATGAGAGCAGCGACAGGCAGACAGTTGAAGCAGTCAGTGAAAGTCTTCCATAAGCGGACATTATATCTCCTTTTGCATTCATCATAGAACCCATATACACGGTTGATTGAAGCACATTCATGATTGCCTCTGAGGAGAAAGAAATTGAGCTTGTATTTGACCTTGTATGCAAGAAGAAGACATATTGTCTCTATGCTTTGCTTACCACGATCAACATAGTCCCCAAGAAACAAGTAATTTGCAGCTGGCGGATATCCACCATATTCAAATAACCGCAAGAGGTCTGGAAACTGACCATGAACATCACCTGCTCATCAACATATATAATTTTAAAAAATCCTTAAGCAGCTTGAGAAACCAGTAAACGAAACCCGTAAGCTATCAAAAGAAGCTTTATCCATCAGAGCATAGTTTCACAAAAGTTAAAAGGTCATTTCTTCCCTACTGACTACTACTTCAAGTGGCAGAGCAATTAACTTGACCTTACAACAAACACAGATTCAAAGCTAAACAAGACACATGAAAATTGAGATTTTATCAACAAACACACAACACAAGAAGAAATGCAAGATGAACATGGAAAGATTACTTAAAAAGAAGAGAGAGAGTGTATCTTGGTTACCGCAAATCTTGATAGGAGCCTCGAGCTCGAGGAGATTAGGCTGGCTAAGGAAAACCTCTTTGGAAGCAGAGCATAGCTGACGAATCTCCGCCTCAGTGAGCGGCACCTGCTTCTTCCCCGCCCGACCATTATTCGCCTCCAACAACCGCCGTATTATATCGTCGACTAAATTCTCGTCCATCGTAGCAACAATCGAAACCCTAGAAGATTCTAGAGAGATCCGACCGCCGGCGTTTCTGAGTTCGTATCGTTGACG